ATTTGCGGTAAAAATTTCAATTGATTTAATGTCTTAGAAATAAAATTCTCTCTTAGCACATGCGATAAATATGCAAATCGGCAAATTAATTCACGAATCATTTCATTCATTTGACATGCAATATACCAGGTGACCAAAGGACCCGATAATGTACAACTAAAATTCCCATTTAAATCGATAAGATTTCACTTTTACCAATATAATCGAATGCACTAAAAATAATTGATAGACATAATAATTTATATACAAATTATCCTCGCGTTTTTTATTTAATGTAATAAAGTCGCTAGGAACTATATACGTAAACGAAAACAAGAAAAAAAAAAGTATATGTTACTTACTGTCATTTAACAAAAATTCCAACCAAAATCCCATAAAAAACTATTTATCTAAGCCATTTGATATATCCCTATTATAATTATAGGGAAATTAATTATTGATAAAGGGACATAAGAAGTTTCATAAATTCATTGAATTCTATTTAGTACCTTCATTAAAACTTCACGACTACATCCGCCATTGCCGCCATCACCATGATCTTTTTCTAACACGAAGAGAGCGTCTTTCACTGTAATTGTTGAAATAGTACCATTAAGTGGTTGCTGACGACCGGTAATGGATGGATTGGTTACGAAATGGGTGAATGAACTTCCTACTAGTTGGGATTCTCCTTTGTTGGCAATAGTAAGATTTTTAAAGTTAGAACGTCCACGTGATGGTTTAAAATCAGATGTATCATTTCCATTAATTGTTGAAGTTTCAGGTTGAATATCAATCATCCAACTCTTAGTTTTACCACCAGCTGCTGATAAAGCAGTCATATTGGTATTTTTCGTATTAACCGTAAGTTTATGTATGGATGATGTAGGTAACGTGCCCTCTCTTTCTTTTTTTTGACGTTTATGACGTTTTGGTGCAACGGTAGGTGTTACTGATGTTGTTCCTGATTGATCTTTTGCGTATTCATCTCTCATTTTATTGTAATGCTTTGATCCTGCCCGTTTACGTTCTTGCTCACGTTCTACCTTTTCAATTGCAAGTAATTGTGATTTTACATCTAAACTAGCAACTTCTTTATACATTGGTAGATTCTTAACATCAGTTACACTTGGATGATGTACAAGTTCCGATTGTATCCGATGATTTTTAGCAACAATCATTGCTTCCACTAAAGATCTTATCCTTTCTTGTGTAGCAAGAGCTAAATAGGTCATCACATCAGGATCAACTCTTAACTTTTGTTGCATAGCTAAAACAGTTTTATAAAAAAGTCAGTTATATGTCCTTGTTTCCCTTTTTATATATTGTTACTTTCTCCTTTAATATCTTATTTCCTTAATATGTTACCTATAGATGTAACTACATTTGTAAGTTTATTTTGATCCAAGAAACTCTGCGTCCGTGAGCGATCTGAAGGTTGTATCGTAGAAGCAGCTTGTCGAGCTCCCAATAATTCATTCTCTCTTAGAATATTATCTGTTTCTTCCTAAATTACAAAGAGTTAATACAGCTATTAAAAAGAAATACTAATTTAGGGAGGGATTATTTTAATTCCATACTTTTAGGTTAACTCCAGTAAAAGTTAAAACATCGTCATAGCTAGCCTTTTCGTCAGTCGCTCTTGCAATACCTTGCGCAACCGGTGCAGTCGCTCTTCTACTTCAATTAAAAATTTACAAAATAAATATTTTTTTTTCTTTTTAGATTCGAAGAAACACCTTAATATAGAATTGCCTAACTGTGTGTGTACTAGAAAATGAAGGAGGAAAGATGTTAAAGGCGAATTATCAATAATAGTAAAAGCTTGTGGTTCATTTCTTCTATTAGATCACTCTTACTTACAACGCGGTAAAACCATTATTTGGTTAGAAAGATTGTTATTTGCGTAACTACCATATCTATAACCAATAGGAGGTTGAAGTGGTGGGCACATTGGTTGACGTGGAATTGTAGGCATAGTTTGATCAAGAGAAAGAATAGGTCTTGTACCGTTTACATTTGAACTACTTGTAACGGTTACCCCAGCCTGTTGCTCTAATTTCACAAAAGGTGTAGTAGTATTAGTTAACTTCTTCATTAAAAAAAAAAAAGAATTTTTTTGATCACTTTTTTATATGTAAGTCGGTCAAGTAAGAAAGAGCGTGTAAGAAAATTTTTTTTTTTCGTTATGGCGTACAAATTTTTAGTAAATCAAATATAGTTAGGGCTTATGACGATCATGTGTGAGGGGTCACGTTGATAAAAATTTAATAACGATTTTATCTTTTAAATAAACATAATTAGTACCGATGGCAAATTAATATTCCAAAAAAATGTTACGAGTATTTGTGATTTTTAAATCACTTTGATTATATTGATATTTTTTTTTAATTTGAAGATTTCTAAAAAATTATTTTTTTTAATTTAATTTATATAAAAAATTTTTAAATAATATTAGATAAATAAAATAAAATAAAAAAATTTGAGTTATTTTCACTAAACTAATATTTTATCAATACTCAATATATTCTTAATTTAATTATAAACTAATTAAATTACATATTTATTTCTTCATCAGTGATATTTAAAGATTCTATAAATTCAAAATATATTAATTATAATCTTAAAATTGTTATAATTATAAATATTTTATTAATTACCTATATTTTCATTAGTCATATCTTCATATAAAACTTGATTTAATTTTTCGGTAAAATTCAGTAAACGACTTGTATAATATGCTTGTGAATGAGATTTGATAATAACTTTATTATTTGATCTATTATTACCTTGTTTTTGTTGTAATGCTTTATCTGCATTATAAAATTCTATAATATTATCTTTTAATTCTTCATCATAATATATTGTCAAAATATTGTGATACCATTTTTGAATAATTTCTTTAATTTCTAATGCAGTTGGTCTTTTTGATGGATCACCATTCCAACATTTTTCCATTAAATTTATATAACATTGTGGAGTATTTTTAATAATTTCTGGACGTTTACCTTTACAAATATCTAAACTAAGTTGAAAATCATGAGCATTATTATCAAATGGAGAAACTCCAGATACTAATCCCCACATAATCATAGAAAAACTATATATATCACTAGCTTTAGAATAAGATTGACCTCTTAAAACTTCAGGTGCTACAAATGGTAAAACACCATAAATATCATTTGTATTAGATGATTGAAAATAATTTACAGGTTTACATAATCCTAAATCGCTAATAGACAAAATATTTTTTCTAATATTTAAAATATTACCATAATGAAAATCACAATGAATTAGATTTTTTTGATGTATTTTATCAAGTCCACTAATAATATTATATAATTTTAATAACTTAATAATCCATTTATCTTTAACAATATTTGATAAATTTTTTCTTAAATTACCATTTTGTGCATATTTCATTACTACCATATAATTTAAAGTATTTGGATCTTAAGTAAATCCATATAATTGAATAAACTTTTTATCATTATATTGACTATAACATTTATAATGAAGTTTCCACTAAAAAAAAAATTAATTAATTTAAAAACTCATTATTTAAATTAAATATAATTATTAATTTATACCTCATTTAAGAATTCTTCATTCAAATTTGATGATTTATCAAAACTTTTAAAAATTACTTTAATACTATCACTTCTAATCCATTTTTTCTTTTTAAATTCATAAGATTCAATAAATCCATCAATCCAAGTTGCTTTATATATAGTACTAAATCCTCCTTTATCAAAATATTTAATATTATTAAATTTATAATAAGAAATCCATTCTAATATTT